AATAAAATACTATAAGAAATCTATTAATAAAATAAATATTAATCTATTAAATAGGTGATTAAAACTAATAAAATAATTTATAAACTATGTAAAAATATTAAGAAAATATAAAATATAATATAAAACTAAAAATAAATATATAATAATAAAAAAAAAACAAATTCTATTATAGTATATCAAGTTGATCTGATATTTTTTTTTTTTAGTTCACATTCTAGTAGTCTAATTAGTAATATGCTTACTTAGATATTTTTATCTGCTCAATTTTTTCATATTGGTATTTGTTTTTTAGATCTAATTTTTACAATAGTACTGTTAAAAATTCATGTTATCTTTTTATTTAAATCTTTCTAAATAAGCTTTGTTTTTTTAGTTTTACAAATTTATATAATCACAAAGATTTAGATTTGTATTATCTTAGATATTAGTTTGCATTTTTCTGTATAACTAAATTTATATAAATACTTTATAACCTGCTAATCATGCTAATATAATTATAGTTACAAATATTTTGTCCTAACTGATTAACAGAAAACAGTTATGATAACACAGGTAATTGTCTAAATTTTTCATCATCAATAAGTTTTGAACTCCCAATTTGCTACTTGAAAAAATGACAACTTATTTACTTTACTAAGTTATCACATTTTTATTTATATCATTTTTAAGCTATATATATTATATTTGACAGACTAATAAAGTAATATTTTTAAATAACAGGCTTATTATCAATTTTTTTAAAAAATAGATCAATTTGTAAAGTTATCTGCAATTATAAATTAGTAATAATAAGATTATATTTAAGAACTATTCATATATAAAAATAAGAATACTTGGATTAAAAAGTTAAAACCTATTTGGTCAAATAATTGTGAATTTTTATTTCAAAGAATGAATTGTTAAAATTATAAAAAATTTATTATATAAAAGTAAAAAATAATTTTTTTAAAAACTACAAATTTTATTTATAAATTTGATACACAAAATTTATAATTTAATTGGTTAAATTATAAAATATAAAAATTTTATTAATATTTTTATATAATTTGATTTTTTGTAAATGAATATCTTGTCTAAATGAATGCAAAATTGGTCCACCGACTATATTCATTAATTTATACAGGTTTGACTGTATTATATTACAATGAATGTTACATGTAGAGGTTTTCATATGGTTAAATCGGTTCATGCTGGATTTAACATGAAAAATAAATCCGTATCACACATGCGATGAGATTGAAAATTTGCTATTATGACATTTTATATCATAAATTTCATATTTCTGATTATATAAGCAAATGACACGTATTTCTAGAGTATGCAAACAGAATTTCAAAAAAAACACCATGTATATTTCAAATTTTGATATCATTTATGATTCATTATTAACTATCCGACTAGTCCATACATTTATCATCAAAGAGTTTTATTCTATAAAGCAGAATTTAAACTACGAATGATATCAAATATTAAAATTATCGTCTTTTCAAAAAAAAAAAAAATTTCAATTTATTCAATATTCTTTGATGATTTACCATTTTAAATTGTTTTTATTTAATAATAAATATTATATCGAGACAATTAAATAAAAATTATTTGGGCAAGGTTTGTCTACAAATTGATCGTACTTTCAAAAAAAAAAAGACAAACCTAATCCTTTTTCTGATTATGTGTACAGATTATTTAATTAAAAAATGTTTTACTCCAAAGAAATACTAACGCGTAAAAAAGGTGGTTTGGGCATTATTTGGTATGCTAAATTTAGCAGTACTTGATTATAATAAAAAATTTTTCAAATATTTTTTTTAATTTTCACATCATGAAATGCTAGGCTCGCAGCTACTTTAGGATCTCGTTCTAGTCTTAAAAAATTGTCAAAAAAAGAAGTCAATTCTGTAAACTTAATAAAGGCATGGTAATTATTTTGAATATCTGAAATATTGGTTTATATTTATATTTCCTGATAATTGAGATGATTTGTGCCTAATGTTAAATTATAGTGAATATGTTACTTCTCCACCAGAACCATTGGCTCTTCGTTTAACATCCAATCTTATGATTGGAATCACAAGAGTCTATGATCAACAATATCATTTTTATTACGGTGAGATATCGACTAAGTGGAATTCATTTTATATATTATATCAATTAATAATAATAATAATAATATAGCCGATGTAAACTGTGTATGGAACCGTTTGCATAAATCTTTAATTGAATTACAGAAAGAATCAGTAGATATGATCGTACCACAAGCAAGGTATCTAAAATAAATAATAAAAATAAAAACAAAATAACGCGTTTTATCATTGTGAATTAATCAATTACTCGCATTCAAAGGCCTGAAGCGATTACTTTAGCAGATGATCCATTTTTCGAAATTGAAATGACTTTTTCACACAAAGCACAAGATTTTAGTGTGGTAAATTATGCACCTTAATTGTCGATGCAATTATTTACATCCTAACAAATTTGCGTTATTTTAAAGGTTCCTAACATTGAAGGGGCTATTAATGGGACACAGCAGTCGCCGACTGGTAAAAATAAGATTCTAGCTACATAATGAATTATTTTTATTTAAACAGCTCTTAATATATTTTCTCGATCATTTCCTTAATTTTACTATAGTCTCATTTCCTCCCGCTAGAGCAAGCGGATCATCAAATGTTACGCGCCAATCATTAATTACGCTTCCCGAAGTTAGTGATGCGGACCTTTCGATTTCTTCTATCAGTGGCTTTAGTGGAGGATTTGATACCGGATTTGAAATGAATGATGATTTACTTATGATGGATGACGGTGGGTAAGTGATAAACTATATGTTTGTCTATCATGGATTATTTTATAGCATTTTGAAAATTAATACTTCGGAACAGAATTAGAATTGACTTTGATGAAGAAGGTGGTCTACACGAATTTGAACTTCGATCTGATAGACAGAATGAGACTCAACAACAAAATGTTCATGACCCTTTAAATTCGAATATGAATGAAATCATGAAAAGGGTTAGAGAAGAACATGACGCTGGCCTTCAAGAAAATAAAAAGGAAAAGGGACGAATACGTCAAAAAGAACCTGCTACAGAAAAACAAGAATTGGTATATAATTCAATTGACTATTCATTCATTATATATTATTTGCCTATATGAGTTTTATAGTATAATCAACAGGATGATGAACAAGTTGCGGATGTTCAAATGGATATAGAGAGAGAAAGTGAGCAAGAAGTTCTACAACAAATAACTCACGACGATCAAGAAGTCCTACAATACGACGATCAAGAGGTACTACAACAAACAACTCATGACGATCAACAAGCACCAAATACCGAGACCAATGTTAGGCAATCATCAGTCGAACCAAGGCGGCAAAAAAGACGAAGACTTCATTATATGTACGATAAAGATACTGAAATGACTAATGAACAAATAATTGCTATGCGAGACGGTGTTGTAGATGACTTAGAAGAGGGTGAAAGAATTGCAAGAGACAAAGTTTGCCATTCCTGATTCTGAATGTTGTGATTGTCTTATTGATTCATCTATATGCTTAATATGTGTTTAATATACATAGGCAAAGATGCAGGAATATAAAAATCGATGGAGACAGGCCCTTTATACACCAGGCCTACCACGTAAGTATTAGGTATTAGAAATTCATTAACGTACCGAAAACTTTTCGTCTTCTGCTAAATAAACCTCAATGACATTTATAATGCAGTCAAAGCCCCACAACTATCAACATTTTGGAGTGCGCATTGTGCGCCAATGCTTCAAGGTATATTAATCAACAGATTGGGTTGGCTTATTTACATACCATAATCACCTCTTCATTATCGAAATAATCCAGACGATATTGTTAAACAAAGAAGAGCTCAGTCTGTACTCGTACATCAACGTAAGAATGTAAACTGATTTATATTTTATTTTTATCATCATGATCTGACATTTTATTTCATATAATGGAAGATATTAATCTAGATGATTTTAACGATTTGTATGCTGACGTTGAGGACATTGGCATTGGTGGATCACGCCAGGTATTCTATAATACTTAAGATAATATAAAGCATCATTATTAATACTACTATTATTATTATTCTATTCAGCATGAAAGGGATGCCAGCTTACAAGATATTGAGCTTGAACGCTTAAGAAAAGCTGGTAGTCAAAGCAATTCTGCAATTACAGGATTAAACAGTACTGGCACAGAAGTCCCAGACCTGTTAGGTAAGTCAAGTTTTCATAATTATTTACTAACTTTATTCATAAAAGAGTGTTTCATTATTATGGATTAATTGTGAAATTCTTTATAGATTTTGATGGCACCTCATCAGTAGAAAATATAAGTCGAGATATTTTGGAGTTTTCAGGACAACTTGGAAGGTAATCAAATGTTAATTTGATATAAACTTATATATTTAATATAGATTAATTCGATATAAACATTTTGGATAGCGTTAATTTGGTGTAAATATTTGTAGAGTTAATTTGATAAACATAATTTGATACGTATACATTGAGTGCTTATTTTACTTTTGAACAATAGTATTGGCCAGCAAAGGTCAAGCTCCATAGGATTGCAGAGACCGTCCATTTCTATGTCAGAAAGTTTTCCTCCTTTTGATGATAATATTGAAATTCCGGATTTTCAAATATTTGGAGGTATATATATACATCATAGCTTTTATTAAACTTGATAGTAACTTAATTCTTTTATTATGACGATGTTTCTAGAATTGGATGAAGATGTATCAATGAGTAGTTCATCTGTTAAAGGAAGGTCCGCTGTAAATAGCGAACAGGAGCAATTAAACTTTATGGAATTTATAAAAGATTTGATGCAAAAAGCTGAAGTATCAAGCGCTATATTTCAGGATATTATGGTGGCTCAGCATGTTAAACGAGCCGAAACTGCTAAAGCCTTTTATAATATTTTGGGTAATTATATATTTAATATTTATATATGCATGACTCATCTACATCTCATTAATTGATTTTTTATTTGGAATAGGCCTCGCAACAAAGAATCTAATTAAAGTAAAACAAGTTCAACAATATGGTGACATTGTAATTGAACTTAAATAATTTATTAGAAATCAATTTCTGTGTATAATGATTTAGCATTGCATAATGTACTATAAGTGGGTATAGTGTCCCAGTGCATGCTCTTGAGCCAAAAGGCATGCCCGTATCATGTAATTATAAATCCTAATCATATATAATTGGAGTATCTTACAAGATCTAGCAGCTACCTTAAGAATATCTAAACATTTTGTATAACAGTCTATCAAATTTTAAGAACTATCAAATTTCAAGATTAGAATTAAGAGTAAGATGAATATATCCAAAAAATTTTGCAATTAGAATATAGAAGCTATCTATAATTTTGAAATTTTTTTAAATCTTATATATATTACATAATTTTTAAAATATTCTTGCAGTAATTAGATCTAGCAGCATAGTACTTGATATATATATAGAGGGGCATGCCCAAATTTTTTCCCGTGCCCAACCCTAACTATAAAAGTTACGTATAGCACTCATTAAGCAGCCTGTTCTAAACGATTAGAATAAACATATGTTATCAGGTATCGTCTTATATTGAAATGGTATTTTAAGCGTCCTATCGGTAGCTCAATGTCTGAATTGACTTTGGTACAAACATAAACTTAATGAATGAATAATGCAAAATAGTACTCTTTTGTTATAATTCTGCTTGAAAAACGTGTGGGTATTATGTTTGCGTAGACGGACAAGAATCATATCTAATGCTAAATTTCTTTGAATCAGGTCAAAAATTGTGGCCTTGAATCAGTTCAATTTTTCAAACCTGAGATATTTTGGGAGTATACTTCAGTCTGAATTATAAATTTGCAACTATTTTTACGTTCATGTCTCTAGAAAATGGTCGCAAACCAAAATTTCAAGTATAGGTCAGCACCCTTATTTATAATGTAAGGCGTTTTTTTTCGCTTGCGGATTGTATAGTATGCAGATATTTTAGAATTTAGTTACGATTTGATATAGATCCGCAAAGGAAAAATGTCATCTGATTTTAGATTTTATTATAAAAATTCTTGTATTACATAAAATTTAACCAATCAAATTTTTAGTTTAATAAAAAAAAAGAAAAATTTTAAAAAACTTGCATTAATGTAAAACAAGAAGTATTTAATTAATAATTTTAGTTCTAATAAAATAAAGAAAAAAATCTTTTTATAACAATATAGTATTTGTTTTAATAATTAATTTGCAGAAGATTTTTTTTTTGCTATATACTGTAACATAAATATAATTAGTTATTACAATTATTTTTAGTCATGTAACTAGATTTAAGACCCGTTGTTAAACGACGCGTTATATTTAAACACACTGATCTAACGTAAGAAATCAATATATTAAGTAGCAGTTTAATATGTTATTGACCTGCTGTTTAAAATTAGCATATGACTTTACGGACATGAAATCACAGTATAATTATTAAAAAAGCAAGTTATAGTTTTTAACTGAAACTATAAAATATAATTATTTGCAGTATTGTACAGCATGGACTAAAATATCCAGGGTACTTTACAATTTAAGCTGTATATATGGGTATTATAGTCGGAGAGATACTATGGTCAGCGCAGAGGGTATAAGTTGCACTAGGCAAAAGTCCCAGTGTTACCAACAATCGAGTGCGCAGTCATGATTTCCGACCTTTTGATTCTCCGGAAAATTGATTTCGAAAATTTTTCAAAGTTTATTTTTCGTGTTCCTACTAATCCTGTGTACAACCGTATTGTTACGAAATAACTATCGGGTCGTTGTTTCAAGACACAATTTCCAGAGTTAAGAATTAATTTTAACGATCTTAAAAAAAAAAACAATTTATCGTTTGTATTTGTCAAAATTAATTATTAGCTCTGGAAATTCTGTACTTTAAAATAACGCCCAGAAGGGAAAGCTTTCATAATTGTTATTTAAGAGACAAAACCATATTCTTTGTCCAGAATAAATCATTAAATATATTCTAAACATAAATTTAGTTACTGAATAATAATCAGATTTATATCAAATTATAATAGTATTCTCTGTACAGCTTCTCTATTAGGGATAAGATATGACATTACCAAACAAAGCGTGATAGGCAGAAAAGTGAAAAGTTGAAACTTTGATGGCTCAGTCTATACTAAATACATAAAACATTTATAAATAGTATTCAGTGTTGTCAATAGACAGCTTTGAACATAAGTATACATTTTTGGTCAAAAATATAAATTAAAATTACTCACAATTTTGTTAAGATAATTTATATACTTTTCTAAGTGAAAAATAATCAGAACCTAAAAAAATATATAATCATATTTTTTTTAGTCAAATTTATAGATTATTAGAGCTTGAACTTGCTTTGAACACTCTTGGACATTTGGATATTTGAATGTTGAACATGATCAAAAAATCTTGAACAGTAAAAATGTACAACACCAATAATAATATCTATAAATTACATATACTAGATTAGAAAGTATTTAGTACAAAGTATACATAACAGTTTACTGAAACTGTATATAGAACAAAATAAAGTTATGTTTTTTTTTAAATTTTCAAAATAAAAAACTTCCAATTACTAAATTATATAAAAAACTATATAAAAAATTATATAATATATATATATATAAAATAAAAAAAGTTAATTAAAAAAAAATTGTAATAATTTTTTAGTATTTTAAAGTAATTAATCAGAATTAATAAATAACAAATAAAAAATAATTTAAAGTTATTTGATTATATTATTAATTATATATTACATATAACTTATACAAAAATAAACATACAACTAGTTCTTTTTTTAAAAAAATATTAATGATAAGGCCATGCCTTTAACTTTATTGAAATTCAATTGAAGTCTTTACAAAGAAAAGCTTGCTTTTAAATTACATATAAAGAATAAAGACTTAGACATATAATTTGCAACCTAAACCTACAAGAGTGGCCAAGACTCACCTAGATTTGAATATTAGTAATAATATATAAAAAAGGAGTATAATATTTAATCTATAATATACAACTAGTTATATATATAATTTTTAGTAATTATTTAAATATTTTGCATAAAGGTTTTATACTAATTACTATATCTGCAATTTACTAAAAAATTATATTAGACAATCAGCATCTACTCTTTCTCATACTCATACTCCATATTTTTCCATCTGACAAACACTTATTAACTTTATCAAATCTTATAAAATTCAACTTACTTTTTATAAAGTTACTGCACACCAAGATGATCCATTTAACAACCTTGCTGATCAACTTGTTTGTAATTACTAAATATTACCTTATCTAACATTTTTAACTAATAATTCTTATAACCTCAACTATACTCCTTTTATTGATAAATTTTCTATTGAAATTCCTATCTGCTGCTTTATTTGAACTATATGTCAAGCTTATATTATAACACTTTAGATATCTCAACATTGTTTTAATAATAGTCTACTATTGCATCTGACATTAACTAAAAAGCTACATGGTTTTATATTAACAATAATCAAAAAATTTCTAACTTTGCCTATAGCTTTTATTTATCTATTCTGAAAACTTTTCAAATTAAAATCCTTACAGATAAACTTTCTGTTTCTCATATTTTTCATAAATATAATTCTTTATTCTCTTCCTTCTGTCATTAATGCAACCAAACTAGTTCTTCACTCCATTGGGCCATCTACCCATCAACCCAAATAATTTATCACTTAATTTCTAATTCTCTTAATAGTATCTTAAATACAACTAATCTTGATATGTCTACCAATCTTGTTTCTGATTTACATACTGAAATCCTTATACTTAACAGTTTCAAACTGCATAATTCTTCATATATACCTTCTCTTATTTCTATTCTATTTGGTTTAGTTCTTATTGATCTTATTTTTACTATCCACAATGCCTCTATCTCTTACTGTATTGCTACTATTCTTTCTATCAAATTTCTTCTTTACTTAAATTAACAAATATATAAACAAATATGAATTTCATATTATTTTTCACGTTCTGCATAGTTCCAGACTATACTCTTTATTAATTTAACTCATAGTCATTCTTCTAGTCTACCTTTACCTTCTATTTTAATACTATAAATTATTACTAAAATTTATCTTTGAACTATCTAATAGATTAAATACCATATCTCTTTCTCTTATATTATTACTCAAACCCAAATTTAGGTGAGCCTTGGCCACTCTTATAGGTTTAGGTTACAAATTATATGTCTAAGTCTTATTCTTTATATGTAATTTAAAAACAAGTTTTTTTTTATAAAAACTTCAATTGAATTTTAATAAAGTTAAAGACATGGCCTCATTGTTAATATTTAAAAAAAAAAAATTACATTAAAAAAGTTTTTTTTTTATATTTAATAGATTTTTAAACATTTTAGAGTTTCTTTTATTTTCTAAAACCAGTGTTATCATTGTTGCAAAGATCTACAGAATAACAAAATAGTCTTTATATATTATTATATTAATAAGATAGCTTATACTTTATTAAGTTTATTATATAATATTTCAGATTTCTAACTTTGCAATATAGGATCCATGTTGTCTAAATTACAGTTTCTTAATTTTATATAATTTACTATTTTTTTTTTTTTTTGCTTTTATTAAAATGGTAGTTATTAGTAGCTATTGTTTTATTATGATTTTAATTATAATTATATAAACTTTTACAAAGTTATTCTTATATTACACCTAACAGATAGTGCACAAGTTTCTGTACACCAAAGTATCATCTAACCTAATTTTGATCTTTTTGTTTGTATATTTGTCAAGCTGTTATATATTTTAGAGTATGTTACCTAACTATAGGGCTTTAGAAGGTCTCTCTACTAACTAATTGCCTATATTAAATTCTTATTAATAGGGTTCACTCTTGCAAAGTTTACCTAAACTCTAATACTGACTTCACAGCATATTTTTAGTACTTAGTTATATTCTGCTTTAGTTCTCAGACTTCCAATCTAGATAGTCTAGAAGAACTGTAATCTGTTTCAAATATTCCAAGTATCTGCCTTCTTAAGATTCTTTTCCTTCAATTCGAGGCTT